GTATAATCAGATTACTGTTTTAAAGTCTCTAGAATAATTCCCTTCTGTGGTTAAGCTTGATATACATAGTATGTTTTTATTTAGGGGTTGCCTATTTTCCATTTTGATATAATTTTGTTTTATAATTATGTAAAAGACTAGAGGCCTGGTGCACGAAAATTGTGCACTCAGGGTGAGGGTGGGGGGAGGGTCCCTCAGCCCAGCCTGCACCCTCTCGCAGTCCGGGAGTCCTTGGGGGATGTCTGACTGACTGACATCTGTCAGACATCCTTAGCGCTGCCATGGAGGTGGGAGAGGCTTCTGCACTGACCACCAGGGGGCATCTCCTGCATTGAGCGTCTGCCCCCTGGTGGTCAGTGCCCGTCATTGCGACTGGTTGTTCTGCCATTTGGTCGATTTGCGTATTAGCCTTTTATTATATAGGATTTCCATGGTTCTAAAGCAAGGTGATTTAGATGTCTAATGTTCTCTTATCTTTCCTTTTATAGGCTCAATGGAGGTTTATGAAGCCCTTGACAAAATAATGAAAAATTTGTGTATGTGTGTATTTTGAGAGAATTATAGTTATTCTCTCATTTTTTCCCAAAGGTTTCAAGGGCAAAAAAATATTGGAACCACTACTATAGAGCGGTGGTTCTTGAACTTTTTTGGTTTCAGGATTTCTTTATATTCTTAAAAACATTAAGACTAAGAACTTTTCTTTTCCATATAAGAAAATAAAACAAAAAATTGGAATCTTTATTAATTTACTTAACATATCTATTATGTGTTAATATAAACTTTTTTCATGAAAATAACTATTCTAAACCCAACATATTGGTGAGAAGAGTGGGTTTGTTTTATACTTGTAAATCTATTAAATGTCTGGTTTAATGGGAGGCAGCTGAATTTTTTTTCATCTATGGCTTCAATCAGTTGTCTCATGTAGCATCTGGAATACTCCACTGTACATTGGCAAGACAATGACAGTAAAAGACAGACAATGTCTTACTGTTAAAATGAAAATAGTTTTGACCTTGCAGAGGCTGGTTGAGTCCCAGTTCTCTATGCTGGACTCAAGCAGTGTCTGGGGGGCTTGATTTAGATTTATTGTGTTTGCTTATTCAGAAGGATTGAGTCTTCTGAAAAATCGGTGTCTCCTCTTATTCAAGTGTGTTCCTCAGTCCCCTTAAGTGGAGATTCAGAGTCTCCACCCTCTTTCCTCCAAGCTGGCCACTGATGGTCCTTGCCACAATTCCTTCCAACCTCCTGGGGCTGGATTGCCCTCATGGGGGCTGGTCCATATCAGAGGAGGAGCCCACCAGAATATGGTTCACACCCATGTGGATATTGCTCTTAGTATAGTCCTTGCATCCTGCTGGCTGTAGTGTGCCAACAAGGATAATCCCTGCTCTATCCCAATCCATTGATGCATTTGTGGTCATTTACCATGTTTATGGAGGGCTATGTGGAGACTCAAATTCCAGTGATCACAGTGTCCTGCTGGCTTCCTTTGCACTGTGCTCTGCCTACAGGACACCCCTTGCTACACTGTCACTGCAGTGCTCTACTTCCTACATCCACAGTTGCCTGAGAGCTGGCTGGAGAAACAGGACAAGGGAACCGCTTGGCCCCATGTTTGACTGGCTCACCCACATTTGTACCCACCCCACCCTACATTGCCAATCTTGTAGTAGTAGCATGGGCCTATCGCTGAAGTTAACCCCTGGGCATCCAAATACTGTGGCTGGTTGGGTCATGTTGAGAATGGCTTTGAGTGCCTGTTCTGCTTCCACCTGGATAACTGATAATTCCAGACCTAATCCAAGCCCACAGGCACCAGCAGCTCTGGTGATGGAGCGTCCCATGGTCCTATCAGCTACTTCAGATGGAAGTCCGTAGTGCCTTATGGTGATCGGGAATCCAGGTAATAGGGGATCAGTTTCGGCTCCATAGAGGGAGCCTAATAATCAGCTATCCCAATCAAGGAAGGTCAGCAGATGTGCAAATTACAATGGTGGAAAGCAATACTGGATTCCTTTGATATCCTGTAATTGGAATGAGTCCATTTTAAATCTTTGTTTAAAAAATATATTTTTATTGATTTCAGAGAGGGAGGGAGAGGAAGAGAGAGATAGAAACATCAATGATAAGAGAGTCATTGATTGGCTGCCTCCTGCACGCCCCACACTGGGGATCGAGCCCACAACCCAGGCATATGCCCTGATTGGGAATCGAACTGTGACCTTTTGGTTCATAGGTCTAAGCTCAACCACTGAGCCACACCAGCCAGGCCACTTGAAATCTTTTAAGGAGGAACGGCAAATCTGGTGCTGGCAGCTGGGGTAATTCCGGCTTCAGTGCAGGGTATTGAATTTGGTGCAGTTAAATTGCCAAGCTTGGATTGCTGGCACGGGTCCATGGCTGAGGAGCCTTGGTCCCCATCCCTGCCCCCTGCCTCTGTGTACTCCTGGCTCTTAGCAGTTTCCCGGTGTTGAAGTGTGTACTTGGAGAAAATTAGAGTGCTCAAAGCAGGGCGCGAGCTGCCTGGATGCTGCCACTAGGTATCCTGGAATGCGAGCATGGTTCTGTTTTTTTTTTAAAACATATATTTTATTGATTTTTTACAGAGAGGAAAGGAGAGGGATAGAGAGTTAGAAACATCCATGAGAGAGAAACATCCATTAGCTGCCTCCTGCACACCCCCTACTGGGGATGTGCCCGCAACCAAGGTACATGCCCTTGACCGGAATTGAACCTGGGACTCTTCAGTCCACAGGCCGATGCTCTAGCCACTGAGCCAAACTGGTCAGGGCAATGGTTCTGTTTTTTGTGTCGGAACTTCGCGGAGGCTGATTAGATGGGATGCCTAGGGTGTTTGTTCCTATTGCACCACTGAAGTTCAAAGTCTTAGTGCAGGACAGACCAGAGTGAAAGCTTTTTGCCAAGAATACTTTAAATAACAAGGATGCAGGTGAAAGAAAGTAAGAGGTTTGAAGAGATACAGATCTCGGGTAGTTCTGACTATAAACGATGCAAACAGCCAGCATTATTCCCGTGATCCACTGGCAGCTTCCAAGAAACCAAAGCCCATTAGGTGGTGGTAGCTGGGGTCTGGTTCCAAAGGTGAACTGAAAGGCACCGCAATGGAGTCTGCTATTTGACTTAGTCTAGACAACCCCACTGACTCCGGCAGGGACAGGATTGCCATGGGTGGCGATGTGTGGCATTTCACTTGCAGAGTTATTTGGCTGGCATATTGATAGCCGAAGGAACTTTTGTGTGCTAACTATTTAGGTTATGTTGAGTGCTCAGTATCCCTCAACTTCGACAAGTGGCGTTCCAGCCAATGCCAGCGGCCCTTTAAGTCCATTAGTGTTGTGCTTGGATTGCAGTTATTCTGCATTAAGGAGTTCCCTGTGTGAGTAGATCAAAAGGTTGCGTTAAATTCCTGTCCCTTGTACACGCTGCCTGTTGCCCCTCAGATTGCCCACTTGGGGTTGGCACTTGACCCCAGCAGATCCTAGAGAAGATCGTCTAAATGAAAGTTGCAACCAGGTTTTGGTTGGTGATCCTGCAGGAGGAGCATTGAGGAGTGAGTGAGAGCTTGAAGGATCTGTTGTGATTCCTTCTGTGTGATTACTTCTCCCTATGTATCAGGCTACCCCTTTGGAGAAGAATAGATGTCTTCTCACCAGGGGTGGTCCAATGTTCCCAAGAGCTACTTGGGGTGATGGTTGGGAGGGTGAGGGGATGACCTGCTGCTCTGTAACTGCGACCAGTAGCCCTGTGCCCCTGTGGCTTCTTACGGTGGCCTCTGGCTCGCCTCTCCCTGGCCTGCCATCTTGGTCTTGGGGTATTCCTCCCTTACCCCCAATCGCATGTGCTCACTGGTGTCTTTCTCTCTCCACCTCTGGTAGAGTGAGGTAAAGCTAAAGGGAAGTCCCTGCTGCCACTGTTATTACTATTTTAAGTCCTTAGATATAGAGTGTAAACTGTTGATTTTATTTTGACTTTTAGTTTTATGGTGTTAGATCCTTTTTATATTCTTTTTTGTTGTTGTTGTCGATGACACTATTACAGATGTCCCCCCTTCTCCCCCACCTCCTTTGCCTACCTCCATCCAGCCCCCACCACCCCTCCCCTGACCTTCACCACTCTGTTGTCTATGTGCATGGGCTGTGTGTTTATGTTCTTTAGCTACTCTCTTCACCTTCTTTTATCCAGTCCACTCCAAACTCCCTCCCCTTTGATCTCTGTGGACTTAACTTTAAACTGTTAGGACACTAATGGTACTTGATATTGCATATTTCTACTTAGCATTTATTAAAAATTAGCAGTTTTAAATAAAAACTGTTACTTTTTTTTAAAGTTTTTTTTTTAATATATTTTATTGATTTTTTACAGAGAAGAAGGGAGAGGGATAGAGAGTTAGAAACATCGATGAGAGAGATCGACCAGCTGCCTCCTGCACGCCCCCCAGTGGGGATGTGCCCACAACCAAGGTACATGCCCTTGACCGGAATCGAACCTGGGACCCTTGAGTCTGCAGGCCGACGCTCTATCCACTGAGCCAAACCGGTTCGGCAAAACTGTTACTTTTAAGTTTGATATACTCACAGAGCGAAGAAACAATTGACCTTCTTATATGTTAGGGAATTTTTAAGATATATATATATATATTTTCTAATCACAATTTTTTGGTTTTCCATGCTGTTGATTAATGTTTTACCAAGTGATAGGTTCTTGATTTAGCATGCAGTATTTTAATTTTTGGTGGTCTATTTAAAAAATATGGCTTTGTTGATTTGAAGAAGGGAGCGGGATAGAGGGATAGAAACATCAGTGATGAGAGAGAATCATAGATCTGCTAACTCGGGCATGTGTGCTGACCAGGAATTGAATCGTGATATCCTGGTTCATAGGTTGACGCTCAACCGCTGAGCCACACCTGCCGGGCATATTATTTTTTTAAATTATAACTAAAGATAACTCAAGTTTTCCTTTTTATTAACAGACATATGTAGAGTGTGTCGGTCAGAAGGAACACCTGAGAAACCTCTTTATCATCCTTGTGTATGTACTGGCAGTATTAAGTTTATCCATCAAGAATGGTGAGTAATCCTTCTAGAAAATCTTGTCTGAGCTTCAGTTTTGTCATCATATATAAGAGGGATTGTTTGAATGAACTTTCCTATAATTAGTTATTTAAAATATTTTTTGTTGTGAAAATTTGGAAATTACCCATATTCCTTATTGCTATGCTATGTAATTTGGAATATTTCTTTCCAGGTGTATGTGAGACCTGTTTATTTCTACCATGGAGGGCTTATTTTGTTCATTGGAAGTATTAAGGTTTTCTAGTTTTGCCTGGCATGGTAGTAGCTTACTTTATGAAATACTTTGTGCCAGGTAGTGCTCAGTGCTTTTCTCATTTAAGCCTTACAACAAAACCATGAGGAGGAGTTATTGTTATTATGCAGATGAAGAAATGGAAGCATAGAAAGGTTAACTAACTAGTTCTATGTCACATAGTCAGGAAGTTAGTGACAGACCAGAATTCAGACCTAGCCCTCAAGATAACAGTATTATGATACCAGTATTAAAACTGGTGTTGATGTTTGGAGATTTTCTTATAGTCAGTTAGCTTTGAGGATATTACAATTTAAATTAATCTAACCATTTTAATAGTAGGTATATATATTGGTTTATCTTTACTGTTATTGTTCTCTACCTTAGAAGGCATCTGTTATTAAAAGTTTGGAATATTTTAAATTTGAAATAGTTAAAATTGTAAAAGCTTTATGAAATGTAACATTTTAATAAAACAGAACATTAGTTTTTAATGAAACATTAAAGTTTCCTTGTTATAAATACTATACTTATGAGTGTATTTGTAATTGCAGCTTAGTTCAGTGGCTGAAACACAGTCGAAAAGAATACTGTGAATTATGCAAGCACAGATTTGCTTTCACACCAAGTAAGTTCTTTTAGAAGTTTTCACTGCATTTTTGGGTAGTAACTGGCCACATGAAAGTGTTTAGTGATATTTTCAATTAGTTTTTCTTTGATAGTTATGGAAAGTATTGCTATAGCATTTTAGAAAATACTTTAAAAAATACATGGCTGCTTTTAACACATGAGAGATATTGATTTAATTTGTGTTATATTTCTTTTTTATTGTTGTTGTTTTTTTTTAAAATTATGGACAAGTTCAAATGTTTGCAAAGGTGTAATGAGTCCACTAGTACCCATCAATCAGTTTGACCCATTTTCAAGTCATGGTCTTTACATGGCATTAATTGTGTTAAAGCAAATGCCATTATTTATAATTTCACCAGTACACATTTAAGTATCTCTAAAAAGTAAGGATTCCTTTTTAAAAAAAAATAACTATAATAACATTAGTCACTCAGCAGAATTAATAATGATGCCTTGATTTTATCAAATATCTTATCACTGTTCAAATTTGTGATATCTTTTGAGTTAAAAGTATGTAGGTTGGAATAATAATGATAATAAAGACAAAGTTTTAACTTGCTTTTTAAAATGTTTTTTTTAAGCTCAGTATTTTCTAAGCCTGTAGTAAATATTTTTCAGGTCTTTAAAATTTCAATTACATTTTATAATTCTGTACCAGTTGATTGATGTTCAATATTGTTCATTGTAAACAATTAGAGCAGTGGTCACCAACCTTTCAGACCTCACGGACCACTGGTTGGCGACTGCTGAATTAGTGGACTATACTGGCAAATTATCAAGGATATAAGGCATGATTTTTATTCTGGGATCCTAATACATTGCCCTCCTCCCCCAAAGGTTTTTTTGTGTTTTAAGTTTTTTGTTTTTAAGTATCTTGAGCTGCTGAGTATAAATGCTGTGAATTAGTATTAGTTTTAATTCATTGGTTGATTCTTGTGTGTGCCCTGATCAGGGATTGAATCTGAAACCTTGGCATATTGGTTGGATGCTCTAACCCAGTGGTCGGCAAACCACGGCTCGCGAGCCACATGTGGCTCTTTGGCCCCTTGAGTGTGGCGCTTCCACAAAATACCACGTGCAGGCGCGCATATACAGTGCGATTGAAACTTCGTGGCCCATGTGCAGAAGTTGGTTTTCGGCCTGGGCGAGTCTATTTTGAAGAAGTGGCATTAGAAGAAGTGGGGGTATGTTCGCTGAGGTCGACCCCTCAGATTGAGGATGTTTTTAGCAAAGGCCAGGTTAGGAGTACCCTAATTAAGTTAATAACAGTGTACCTACCTATATAGTTTAAGTTTAAAATATTTGGCTCTCAAAAGAAATTTCAATCGTTGTACTGTTGATATTTGGCTCTGTTGACTAATGAGTTTGCCGACCACTGCTCTAACCAACTGAGCTATCCAGCCAGGGCCAGAGTACAATTTATTAAAGTTATTACGGTTTTACTTTTGGAGCTTTATATTCATTACCATCAAAATGTCAATTCTGTTGTTTCATAGTCTTTAAGTTTTTGTAGGGCATAAAAATTCAACAGCTTAGCTATAGTAAACTGTAAGACTAAATAATTAAATATCTTTATGAAGTTTGATTAGAAATACTTGTGAGCTTTTTTACTTTGAGGCACATAAATTTTCATTTTCATTTGACAGATGCTGTATTCTTTATCTTTCTCAAAAACTCTTTTTACTGGTTTAATGACTTGTTATTATGTATCAAATATCAAATATCTTAAAGTAAGGATCTTTGTGGGTGTGTTGTAAAAAGTTGCTATTTGTTAATTATTTCTTAATGTTTGTAGATGGGAACAGTTTTGTTATAGTGCTCTCATAAATTTTAGATATTTTAAAAAAACTTTATATATCATAATTCTTGTTTTGGCCTCACTGGAGAAAGAGGCATTCTACTTCTGTGTTCTTTTGAAGATACCTGTGGTGGAGCAGTGGTTTACATTGGAAATCTTTCTAAAGCATGGCACAACCTCTTCCTCTGAGTGTATTGAACAACATGTTACAGAAAGTTGGGAAGACCTTAATTTACCATTTGCAGTGTTAACTATTGTGCTAAAATTGAGAAATGGTTGGCTAACAAATGCCAGTTGTCTGTTTGCTTTACACAAAATGGACCTGCAGATTGTTATGCCTTTTTTTTGAATGTTTTTATTGATTTTTTTAGAGGGAGAAGAAGAGAGAGGGACATAGAAACATAGCTCTGCTGCCTCTTGCACTTCCCCTATTGGGGATTGAGCTTGCAACCTGAGCATATACCATGACTGGGAATCGAATTAGTGACCTCTTGGTGCATGGGATGACGCTCAATTCACTGAGCCACACTGCCAGGGGCCAGGTTGTTGTGCCTTTTTAGTACTATTTCTAAGGTTTGTGTTTGGAAGGAGGGTTTATTCTTTTTTTAAAAAATATATTTTTATTGATTTTAGAGAGGAAGGGAGAGGGATAAAGAGATAGAAACATCAATGATGAGTGAGAATAATTGATCAACTACCTCCTGCACACCCTCTACTGGGGATCGAGCCTGCAACCCAGGCATGTGCCCTTGGCCGGAATCAAACCTGGGACCCTTCAGTCCGCAGGCCGACGCTCTATCCACTCAGCCAAACCGGCTCGGGCAGGAGGGTTTATTCTTTTTTTTTTTTTAATTTTTTTATTGCTTCAAGTATTACAAAGGGTATTACATATGTGTCCTTTTTTTCCCCGCCCTTGACAATCCCTTGGCCTCCCCTACCCCCCAGTGTCTTATGTCCATTGGTTATGCTTATATGCATGCATACAAGTCCTTCGGTTGATCTCTTACCCCCTTTCCTCCTGCCCTCCAACCCTCCCCGGCCTTCCCGCTGCAGTTTGACAATCTGTTTGAGGCAGCTCTGCCTCTGTATCTATTATTGTTCAAAAGTTTATAATGGTCTCTATTATCCATGAATGTGTGAGATCATGTGGTATTTTTCCTTCATTGACTGGCTTATTTCACTTAGCATAATGCTCTCCAGTTCCATCCATGCCATTGCAAATGGTAAGAGTTCCTTCTTTTTTACAGCAGCATAGTATTCCATCGTGTAGATGTACCACAGTTTTCTAATCCATTCATCTACTGATGGGCACTTAGGCTGTTTCCAAATCTTAGCTATGGTGAATTGTGCTGCTATGAACATAGGGGTGCATAGATCCTTTCTGATTGGTGTTTCTGGTTTCTTGGGATATATTCCTAGAAGTGGGATCACAGGGTCAAATGGGAGTTCCATGTTTTGTTTTTTGAGGAAACTCCATACTGTCTTCCATAGTGGCTGCACCAGTCTGCATTCCCACCAGCAGTGCACGAGTGTTCCTTTTTCTCCACATCCTCTCCAGCACTTGTCGTTTGTTGATTTGTTGATGATAGCCAGTCTGACAGGTGTGAGATGGTACCTCATTGTTGTTTTGATTTGCATCTCTCGGATGATTAGTGACTTTGAGCATGTTTTCATATGTCTCTTGGCTTTCTGAATGTCCTCTTTTGAAAGGTGTCTATTTAGGTCCTTTGCCCATTTTTTGATTGGATTGTTTATCTTCCTTTTGTTAAGTTGTATGAGTTCCCTATAAATTTTGGAGATTAGGCCCTTATCAGATATGACATTGGCAAATATGTTTTCCCACGCAGTGGGTTTTCTTGTTGTTTTGTTGATGGTTTCTTTTGCTGTGCAGAAGCTTTTTATTTTGATGTAGTCCCATTTGTTCATTTTCTCTTTAGTTTCAACTGCCCTAGGAGCTGTATCAGTGAAGAAATTGCTTTGGCATATGTCTGAGATTTTGTTGCCTTTGGATTCTTCTAGAATTTTTATGGTTTCCTGTCGTACATTTAAGTCCTTTATCCATTTTGAGTTTATTCTTGTGTATGGTGTAAGTTGGTGGTCTAGTTTCATTTTCTTGCATATATCTGTCCAATTTTCCCAACACCACTTATTGAAGAGACTATCTTGGCTCCATTGTATGTTCTTGCCTCCTTTGTCAAATATTAATTGAGCATATTGGTTCGGGCTAATTTCTGGACTCTCTATTCTATTCCACTGATCTATATGTCTGTTCTTGTGCCAGTACCAGGCAGTTTTGAGAACAGTGGCTTTGTAATACAGCTTGATATCCGGCATTGAGATCCCACCTACTTTGTTCTTTCTCAGGATCGCTGCAGCTATTCGGGGTCTTTTTTTATTCCAGATGAATTTTTGGAGAGTTCGTTCTAGATCTTTGAAGTAGGCCATTGGTATTTTAATGGGAAGTGCGTTGAATTTATAGATTGCTTTGGGTAGTATGGACATTTTAATGATGTTGATTCTACCAATCCAAGAACATGGTATGTTCTTCCATCTCTTTATGTCTTCCTCTATCTCTTTTTTCAACGTCCTGTAGTTTTCTGAGTAGAGGTCTTTTACCTCTTTAGTTAAGTTTATTCCTAGGTAGCTTAATTTTTTTGGTGCGATGGTAAATGGGATTGTTTTTATAATCTCTCTTTCTGAAAGTTCACTATTGGTGTATAGAAATGCCTCAGATTTCTTGGGGTTAATTTTGTATCCTGCTACATTGCCAAATTCATGTATTAAGTCTAGTAGTTTTTTGATGGAGTCTCTAGGGTTTTGTATGTATAATATCATGTCGTCTGCAAATAAGGACAGTTTTACTTCCTCTTTTCCAATTTGGATGCCTTTTATTTCTTCTTCTTGTCTAATTGCAATGGCTAATACTTCCAGGACTATGTTAAAGAGGAGTGGCGAGAGTGGGCATCCCTGTCTTGTTCCTGTTCTTAGGGGAAATGGTGTTAGTTTTTGTCCATTGAGTATGATGTTGGCTGTGGGCCTGTCATATATGGCTTTTATTATGTTGAGGTATGATCCTTCTATTCCCACCTTGCTGAGAGTTTTTATCAAAAATGGGTGTTGGATTTTGTCGAATGCTTTTTCTGCATCAATTGATATGACCATGTGGTTTTTTTCTTTCAATTTGTTTATGTGATGTATTACGTTTATTGATTTACGGATGTTGTACCATCCTTGCATCCCTGGGATAAATCCTACTTGGTCATGGTGTATGATCCTTCTGATGTACTGTTGGATCCGATTTGCTAAGATTTTGTTGAGGATTTTGGCATCTATGTTCATGAGGGATATTGGCCTGTAATTCTCTTTCATTGTGTTGTCTTTACCTGGTTTTGGTATTAGGGTGATGCTGGCTTCATAGAATGAGCTTGGAAGTGTTCCTTCCTCCTGAATTTTTTGTAGTAGTCTGAGGAGGATAGGTTTTAGTTCTTCCTTGAAAGTTTGGTAAAACTCCCCTGAGAAGCCATCTGGTCCTGGGCTTTTGTTTGCTGGAAGCTTTTTGATGACTGCTTCAATTTCTTCCATAGTTATTGGCCTATTGAGATTTTTAGATTCTTCCTGATTGAGTGCTGGAATGTTGTATTTTTCTAGGAATTTGTCCATTTCCTCCAGGTTGTCTAGTTTGTTGGAGTAGAGCTGTCCATAGTATTTTTTAACAATCATTTGTATTTCTGTGGGGTCTGTTGTTATTTCGCCTCTATCGTTTCTGATTTGGTTTATTTGGGTCCTCTCTCTTTGCTTCTTGGTGAGCCTGGCTAGAGGTTTGTCAATCTTGTTTATCCTTTCAAAGAACCAGCTCTTGGTTTCATTGATTTTCTGTATTGTTTTTTTGGTCTCTATGTCATTTATTTCTGCTCTAATCTTTATTATCTCCTTCCTTCTGCTCACTCTGGGGTTTTCTTGTTGCTCTCTTTCTAATTCTTTGAGTTGAAGAGTTAGATGATTTACTACCATTTTTTCTTGTTTTTTGAGATAGGCCTGTAGAGCTATAAACTTCCCTCTCAGGACTGCTTTCATTGTGTCCCATAGGTTTTGGATTGTTGTGTTTTCATTGTCATTAGTGTCCAGGATGTTTTTAATTTCTTCTTTGATCTCATTGGTAACCCAATCAATATTTAATAACATGCTATTCAGCTTCCAAGTGTTTGAGTATTTTGGGTTGTTTTTATTGTAGTTTATTTCTAACATTATGCCATCGTGGTCTGAGAAGAAGCTTTTTATGATTTCAATCTTCTTGAATTTGTGGAGACTTTGCTTGTGACCCAATATGTGGTCTATTTTTGAATATGTCCCATGAGCACCTGAGAGGAATGTATATTCCATGGCTTTGGGGTGAAGTGTTCTGAAGATGTCAATTAAGTCCATCTGATCTAGTGAGTCATTTAGGATTGCTGTTTCTTTGCTGATTGTTTGTCTAGCGGGCTTATCCAGTGGTGTCAGTGGTGTATTAAAGTCCCCTACTATGATTGTATTGTTGTCGATCTCTCCTTTGATATCTTCCAGGAGTTTTTTTATGAATTTGGGTGCTCCTGCATTGGGTGCATATATGTTTACCAGGGTTATATCTTCTTGTTGTATTGATCCCTTTAGTATTATGAAGTGGCCTTCCTTATCTCTGGTTATGGCCTTCACTTTGAGATGTATTTTGTCCGATATAAGTATTGCTACCCCAGCTTTCTTTTCCTTTCCATTTGCGTGAAAGATATTTTTCCATCCCTTCACTTTCAGTCTGTGTGAGTCCCTTCTAATGAGGTGGGTCTCTTGTAGACAGCAGATGTATGGGTCATGTTTTTTTATCCATTCAGCCACTCGATGTCTTTTGGTTGGAGCATTTAGTCCGTTTACATTTAAAGTTATTATTGAAAGGTACTTGTTTGTAGCCATTTCTTTTTTTGTGTGTGTGGCTGTTTTCTTTCTGAGCTTGTTATTTCTTCTTTTTACACCAGTCCCTTTAGCATTTCTTGCATGGCTGGCTTGGTGGTGATAAACTCCCTTAGCCTTTTTTTGTCTGTGAAGCTTCTTATTTCCCCTTCAATTTTGAATGAAAGCCTTGCTGGATAGAGTATTCTTGGATTCAGTCCTTTGCTTTGCATCACTTTGTAGATTTCTGTCCATTCTTTTCTGGCCTGATGTGTTTCTGTTGAGAAATCATTTGATAATCTAATGGGAGATCCCTTGTATGTAACTTTCCGTCTCTCTCTTGCAGCCTGTAAGATTCTCTCTTTGTCCTGAACATTTGCCATGGTAATTATGATGTGTCTTGGTGTGGGTCTTTTCGGATTCACCTTGTTTGGGACTCTCTGGGCTTGTGTGACTTTTTTCTTCCCCACCTCAGGGAAGTTTTCTGATATTATTTCTTCGAATAGGTTTTCTAATCCATGTTCATCTTTCTGTTGTTCTGGCACCCCTATTATTCGTATGTTGTTTCGTTTCATGTTGTCCCAAAGCTCCCTTAGGCTCTCCTCCTGTCTTTTAATTTTTTTCTCCATTTGCAGTATAGTTTGGGTGTGTTTTGCTTCCTTGTCTTCTAATTCACTAATTCGGTCCTCCGCTTCTCCTAGTCTACTGTTGATACTTTCAATGGAGTTTTTTATGGCAGCTATATCACTCTTCATTTCTTCTTGGGCCTTACTTAAGTTGTTGATTTTTTCATCTGTTTCTTCTAGCTTCTTGCATATGGTATTGAATTTTTCATCTGATTCTTCTAGCTTCTTGCATATGGTATTGAATTTTTCATCTGATTCTTCTAGCTTCTTGCATATGGTATTGAATTTTTCATCTGATTCTTCTAGCTTCTTGCATATGGTATTGAATTTTTCATCTGATTCTTCTAGCTTCTTGCATATGGTATTGAATTTTTCATCTGATTCTTCTAGCTTCTTGCATATGGTATTGAATTTTTCATCTGATTCTTCTAGCTTCTTGCATATGGTATTGAATTTTTCATCTGATTCTTCTAGCTTCTTGCATATGGTATTGAATTTTTCATCTGATTCTTCTAGCTTCTTGCATATGGTATTGAATTTTTCATCTGATTCTTCTAGCTTCTTGCATATGGTATTGAATTTTTCATCTGATTCTTCTAGCTTCTTGCATATGGTATTGAATTTTTCATCTGATTCTTCTAGCTTCTTGCATATGGTATTGAATTTTTCATCTGATTCTTCTAGCTTCTTGCATATGGTATTGAATTTTTCATCTGATTCTTCTAGCTTCTTGCATATGGTATTGAATTTTTCATCTGATTCTTCTAGCTTCTTGCATATGGTATTGAATTTTTCATCTGATTCTTCTAGCTTCTTGCATATGGTATTGAATTTTTCATCTGATTCTTCTAGCTTCTTGCATATGGTATTGAATTTTTCATCTGATTCTTCTAGCTTCTTGCATATGGTATTGAATTTTTCATCTGATTCTTCTAGCTTCTTGCATATGGTATTGAATTTTTCATCTGATTCTTCTAGCTTCTTGCATATGGTATTGAATTTTTCATCTGATTCTTCTAGCTTCTTGCATATGGTATTGAATTTTTCATCTGATTCTTCTAGCTTCTTGCATATGGTATTGAATTTTTCATCTGATTCTTCTAGCTTCTTGCATATGGTATTGAATTTTTCATCTGATTCTTCTAGCTTCTTGCATATGGATACGGCTTCTCTACTTAAAACTGGTTTGGGGAGGTCAAGTGCCCAGAGCTGGTTTTTTAATCGTTACCCTGCTCTGCGTTGTTGGTGGGACTCAGGAGGGTTTATTCTTGATGAAGTCACTAGTTTCACCTTTTTCTCCTGTTTGCTTTATCTGATCTTTTATAATCTGGGAAGCCAGATAATCATATTGTTTGAATGCTAAAATATGTGTAAATTAGCTTTTCATGAAGTTCATGGCTGTGAATGAGAGATGCAGACTTCTCTTGAATCTTTTTTTTCTTCTCAGAGGTCTTTTTTGTTGGCTTCTTAAATGTGCTATTATTATAAGTATTTGATTCATTTTTTATAGGAAAAATATTTGTATAATACAAATGTTGAAAGTTAAGATAACTTTACATGCCTGTTTTATATTTATGAATTAGTCTACTTTTCAGTGTTCATGAAATTATATATAATTTTTTTCTGTAATAGTTTATTCCCCAGATATGCCTTCACGGCTTCCAATCCAAGACATATTTGCTGGACTGGTTACAAGTATTGGCACTGCAATACGATATTGGTTTCATTATACACTTGTGGCCTTTGCATGGTTGGGAGTTGTTCCTCTCACAGCATGTGAGTATTCATTCCTCTGTGGTTGGAGTTAATTAAACATTGCATAACTATTTAATATTATAGAGTAATATTAGATCATATTTTTGTTCGAATGATATTTAATTATTTGATATTATTATTTCGTATATTAGTGAAGCCTCAGGAAACAGTTCACCTGAATTAAGAAGTATTTTTAAACACATCAGTTTCTTGAATGAATGTGGGAAAGAAAAATACAGCATACAGAGTCTAACTAATAATGAGAATTCATGAGAGAATTGAAAAAGCAAAGTCAATCTATAGTTGAATTTTATTTCTGTGAGTTAGAGCCTTCAAAGATTGTAAAAGATGGGTTCTCTTGAGATCCCCCCCCCCCCCTCTTTTAAAAGTCACTCACATGTCAAATGATCCTGAATAATTAGGAGGCTTTCTTTCAAATACAGGAGGCTTTCAGTGAGGTTGGTATACTAACTCTTAATTGATACTTTTTGAGTTCTTCATTGTTCTTAAAGACATGGAGAGGGTATATGGTGCCAGATGATATAGATACAATTTTTTGCAATCTTGAATGCAAACAAGATTTTTGAATAAATATAATTCATATTCTCATGTTTTCTTAAAATAAGATAAACTTACTCATTTATGAAAATGAATATCTTGGGAGATATACCACATAGCAGATTAAGTACTGTAGACGTGTGAATGAATTAGTGAACTAGAAGATTGAGCAAGGAGTTCTATAGGATGTAACTCAAAAAGACAAGAAGTTGAAAGTATGAGGGAAAAAAGTGAGAGATGGAGGCTACATCAAGTTTTTTAGTACCTGTCTAATAAGTAGTTCCAGAAGGTAAAAAGATGATGCAAGAGGAAATGACAGACATCTTATAGATTGAAAGAGAGCTGACCATGATAGAAGGAGACTCAAAAACCTAAATATATTCTAAAGTTTTCCAATTCTGAGCAGGGTGTTGTATAGATGTAACGCTTGCAGATTATCCTACAAAGTAATGAAAATCAGACTAACGTCACACTTAAAATCAGCAAATATTTTGCTGAAGCTAGAAGACAGCAGCAACTTGAAATTGAATGCTAGAAGGCAAATTTCAAAATTTGACAAAATTTTTGAACCTAAAACCTACCCATAAATTATCAGATGGAAGGGCAATATACAGACATTTCAATAGATGCAAGGACTGAGAAAGTTTATTGCCTCAAACTATTTATGAAAAATGTGTTTGAGACTATACCTGCATAAAATGAGCAAGGAATCAAAGAGAAAGTTGTGAGCTACAGAGAAAAGAAGCAAGTAGGTCTTACAGCTAAATCGAAATTGTTAATCTACAGTAATTTTTAGGTAACAGTCTAGAACTAAAATTCTGGATGATCTTAACAGGGAAGAAATTGTGAGGGGAGGATAGAAATGGGCGCTTTTTAAGTTGTCATATTTGTGGGAGATTATAGATGTGCTACATGAAGATAGGAAAATATAGTGTAACTATACATTAAAAATATAGGGTAACCAAATAGAGTGTAGGACTAGATTCACACCGGCATTGTTACCTGATTAACAGCAGAGGAGCCACCGCTGTTCATGGCATTGGAGCATGTACTCCATTGAAAACTTCTAATTTTAAAAGTGTGTACTCCCAAAACTGAAACCCTTTAATTTCATGAGCAGACTCAATGAATTTTAGAATTCTAGGTTAAAAAAATTCTCCATTTTGTAATTTTGGAGATATCTTTATTTTAGATTTTTTTCCTCTTTCAGACATCTAAGCTCATTCAATAAAAACAAGCAAGTGTGAACCTAGAATCTAAACTTTAAACATTTTTGAGTAACTTTTACTCTTCATTATCACTATTTTTATGCTTGAACTATGAAACATTTTTAAAAATTGATTGATTTTTAGAGGGAGAGAGAGAAAAAAACGATCTGTTTTCCCACCCTTTTATGCATTCATTTGTTGATTCCTGTATGTGCCCTGACCTGGGATTGAACCCAGAGCCTTGACTCATTGGGATGATGCTACCCAGCCAGGGCCTTGACCATTTTAAAAAAGTTTAATATTTTGAGACTCATCCTTGCAAAGACTAAATGTGTATTTTAGTGGCATTCATGGTATTCCACTTTACCTCTGTTTAATTGAACAGCTGTGAGATTGATGCTGAGAATTGTAACTATGTGCCCTTGTGCCCTCTTTCGGTAGGCCGCATCTACAAGTGCTTGTTTACTGGCTCTGTGAGCTCACTACTGACACTGCCACTGGACATGCTGTCCACGTGAGTATGAACCTTGTGACAGTGGAAGGCTGCATAATGGTGTTAGTTTTTCCCCACAAGTTTTTATTTTTTTAAATCCATAATCAAGGATATGTTCTTTGATTTTTAGAGAGAGGGGCAGGGAGAGAGATAGAAAGAGAAAGAGATTGATGTGAGAGGGAAACATTGATTGGTTGCCTCCTGCATGTGGTTCAGGATCAAACCTGCAACCTAGGTATATGCCCTGACCGGGAATCGAAACCCTTGACCTTTTATTTATTTATTTAATTTAATTTTATTTTATTTTTTTGACCCCTTGACCTTTTAGCGTACGGGATGATGTTCCAACTGAGCCACACTGGCCAGGACTGCTCCACATATTTATTTTTATTATAATTTGAGTTTTTCAGTTTCAAGGACAAATAATAATTTTAACAGTTATAGCTACAGTAGAAGCAGCTGACATGTATATATACATATGTGCTGTTTTAAAATATACCTGTCTTAAAAAGAACTGTTTTGTAATGGTGGGACAGCTTGTTAAATAGGCTGTTGTGCATTGTGGGATATATATGATTATGTTCGCGTGCTGAAAGTTCATTTAAATATGTTTTTTGCAATATAGACATTTGAATTCAAATTTATTTTTAAAATGTTTCTTGTGATTATTAGTGTCTGAACTCTAAAAAACGTCTTCACTATAGTTGTTTTACTGTATCTTAATTTGATATTGCATTGTAATTGAATTTTCTTGGGAAAGACATATTAGATGTGTTTTACTTATTACTGATGTCAGAATTAGAAATGTTATATTTATTAACTCTATCAAGATCATTAGAATATTAAGCCTGCAAAAAATTATACTTATATGTGCTAAATCTTCTTTTGTGCCAAGCTGCCCTTAGTAATTATTTTTGAGGAGCTGATTTTCACCCAGAAAATTATGAGTTTTCTGGCTGTTTTTTCCTGAGATTTTAGTATAAGATGAACTGTTGTTATCTTGAATTTCTTTGGTTTCCTTAGGTGTTCTTTGGAGTAATTCCATATAATTTTTTTTTTTTTTAACTAGGGACAACTTATTGGCGGATTGTTTACAGGGTTGTTTTGTGGTGACGTGCACATTGTGCGCATTCATCAGCCTGGTGTGGTTGCGAGAGCAGATTGTCCACGGGGGAGCGCCGATTTGGCTGGATCATGCTGTTCCACCCTTCAATGCTGCTGGACACCACCAAAATGAGGTAACTCCCCACTTCCTCCAATTCTTTTTATTGGGACAGGACATGAGAGTTGTCATCACCCTTTAAGACCCAACCCCTTGACTCCCATGTCCATCATTGCAAAGCAGAGTAGTGAAAAGGAGTGGGAGAAGATTAAGGGAGATGTGAAAAAAATCAAAAGAATGCTGCTATGACTTGGCCTCAATTTTCTAGCAAGATTGGGAGCAATATTGGGGGTATACTAAAGTGCTCTTTCATTGCTTTTGCTTAGGTCCCCTGCATAATGCTGGAAGTTAAGGTACAGACTTCTTGCACATGCTTCTGACATGCTGGGTAACATTAAGGAAGTTACTTACCCTCTTTGCTCATCAGTTTCTTTGTATGTAAAATGCCTCCTCTTTGCTGCTGCTAGCAGGAACATTACCAAAAGTAGAAACGTTGTACCACTATAACAATGGTGTGCCATTTTACTTTTTCTTTATGAGAGGATACATGCTTAGATGTAAGAGCATTTGCTAGAATTATTAAGAAGAGTGGACATAAATTATTTTTAGTATTAAATAGCTTGCTGAGAAATTATGGGGCTGAAAATGTAAAAAATATTAGCTACTTACATATGAAAACAATTCACACTTCATAAAATTTTGTTACGAAAAAATTGAGTGTAAGATACTCAAAGTGTAAATTAATAACTTAATTTTTCATGTAATGACCTACTTTTGTCAGTTTGCAGATTGATTTAATCAAAGTTGCCACATATTTTTCTCTGCAGAATTGAGTGCAATTTCTCCCTTGAAAACCACACATAAAAAAAATGAGACTATAAAGAAACAACACTGTTCTTACCTAGCTTTAATACTTTTATCATTGTACCTTATATTTTGAAGCATTTGAAGCATTTAGTAGGGTTCTTTTTTTTTTAAAACTTTTTTATCCTCACAGGATATATTTTTCCATTGATTTTTAGAGAGAGTGGAAGGGAATGAAGAGGGAGAGGATGAAAGGGTGGGGGGAGAGAGAGAGAGAGAGAGAGAGAGAGGGAAAGAAACATTGATTGGTTGCCTCCCACATGTAGGAACCTGCAACTAAGGTACATGCCCTTGCCCTTGACCGAATCAAACCAGCGACCCTTCCTTCCCAGGGCTGATGCTCTGAGTTGGCCAGGGCTAATGTACAGTGGGGCCTTGACTTAGGAGTTTAATTCGTTCCGTGACGGAGCTCGTAACTCAAATTACTCGTATGTCAAATCAAGAAGTGAACGAGTCAGACACGTGATGCTGGGCTGATGTTGTGGCGTTCACTGTGACGTTCGCTGCGCCAACTAGCGGTGGGGTATCTGAAGCTGGCTCGTAACCCGAATTTTAGCTCGCAACTCAAAGCAAAAAAATCGGCCGAGAGACGGCTCGTATCTCGAAAAACTCGTTAGTCGGGACACTCGTAAGTCAGGGCCCCACTGTAGTTCTTTTTTAGTCTTTATTAACTCCAAGGGAGTTGAGTGTTTTAATTAACTACAGTTATGTCTTTGGTTGGTAGGTTGTTGCACTCAGGAAGAGCCAGAGAAAGATGCATGTGGGGACTGATAAAGTATATATGGACAGGCTTACCCACAGGGCAGAAATTAGCTATGTTTTCCTCAAGTGTTTAACTGATAACTGAGAATTAAGTTTTATATCTGTATGTGTATAAACAAATAAATAGATGCATAAATAAATATATTTTTATTCCTGAGGGGTCATTAAAGACTGGAGTCATGTCTTTTAAAGAAGGATTATGTATGGAATGATGTATTCAAGATAGCCATATTGTTAACCCATTATCTATAATGCTTTATGAAATGATAATCCTTAAATTATACTGAATGAATATATACACTGTGAAGTGAATTTATGTCCTTATATACCAAATTGATCCAAATAAGATACATTTGACTTTGAGAGGTGCATTTTGAAATTTCAATACTTTGAGTCTCTTTGTTATTTTATTTTATTTTTTTTTAGAAGAAAGAGCTTGATTTGGAAATAGAGCAAAACTGAGGTAAATTAGCTAAATGTCTGCGCTCTTCTGTCATTTTAGGCTCCAGCGGGAGGAAATGGGGCTGAAAATGTTGCTCCTGACCAGCCTGCCAACCCACCAGCTGAGAACGCAGTGGTGGGGGAAAACCCGGATGCCCAGGATGATCAGGCGGAAGAAGAGGAGGAGGAGAACGAGGAGGAAGATGAGGCAGGCGGGGAAGATGCAGCGGATGCCAACAATGGGGCCCAGGGTAATGGCTGCTCATTTGTCCTTATCACCTCTTCTCCACCATGAGTCCATTCCTAACTTGCCTTGGGGGGAGGACTGGAGTTTTCAAAATTTAATGGGTTTAAAATTATATTTTTAACCTGTTTTTACTTTATTTTGGCAAACTTGCATGTATGGATATACATATGCATACATTTTTTTTTCTGTGAAACGGCACATTTTGTGTTTTAAAATCCTACTTTACGCAGGACTTTTGTAGGATGGGTAGGAAGAAATTATTTGTAAGTTGGTGTAGATTCTAGTTTTTTTTTTTTAAGGAATTTGATAAAGATTTATTTATTTTTTGGGGGGAGGCCATTCTTTTGAGTCAATACTTTTAATATCAAAGAAAAATTCTTGAAGTGTGCAGTGTAGACCAGATGTAATCCACAGAAACCAGTTTCTGTTTTTTAAAAAAATTTATTTATTGATTTTAGAGAGAGGGAGAGCAAAGAAGGGAGATAGAGGGAGAGGAGGGAGGGAGAGGGGAAGAGAGAGAGAGAGAGAGAGAGAGAGAGAGAGAGAGAGAGAAACATTGATTTGTTCTACTTACTTATGCATTTGTTGATTGCTTCTTGTATTTGACCTGACTGGGAATCAAACCCACAACCTTGGTTTATCGGGACGATGCTCTAACCAACCTGAGCTACCCAGCCAGGGCTCAATTGCTCCTTTTCTAGCATGTAACTTTGCAATGTAAAAGAAGATCCGAGACTGAGCCCTCCAAGTCAGCTGTCAGTAGCTCGGCGCCTCCCTTTCTCTCTTCCCACCCAGAGTTTTCTTGTCAGGGGCTGCACTGCCTCTAGGTCCATTTGACATCGTTAATATTTGAGTGTCTCCTGTGTGCCAGGCACTCAAAACATCAGGGCTCTGCCTTCATGGAGTTTCTGGTCTAGTGAAGAATACCCAAGTGAGCAAATTTATTACACGTTGTGATAAACATTGTGTAGGTTGTTCTGAGGATGCTATTGGAGAGAGACTTATTTAAACAAGATGCCCCCGTAGCTCAGAGTAAGGGCTATTTGAGCTACGACCTGAAGGATGAGAAGCGAGTTGTATAATGGGGCCTTTGCCAGGGAGAGGCGAGTATCTGTTTAAAGACTCTGAGGATGCAGTCTACTGCTTCCCTAGTGCTGGCCACCATTTCTGTCTCAGTCTAATGCAATAGCTCCTAACTGGTCTTCCTTCTTCCATTCTTGCTCCACGTAGTATTTGGATTGCTCTCCTGCCTTTAAAAATCTTTTAGTGGTTTTTCCATGATACTGAAGAACAAAATAAAATCTAGGCTTCACATTCCTTTTGTATGATCTGATCCCTCTCTGCCTTTCATACTATATCTTCCACCGCCTCCTCATCCAGGGAATTCTAGTCGTCTGGCTTCCTTACTCTCCTCACTTCCACTGGAGTTATTCCTGCTTCAGAGCTGTTGAATTCCTTTCTATCACATAACCCTCTTTCTTTCCTTTCTAGTACTTTCCACATACTAGCACCACCTTATTTATTTTATGTTGTATTTATGTATATGGGTTCTTATTTATTGCCTAATAAGTAAATACTCATATGGAAAAATTTTAAATGTGGTTTAGCTTCTCAACAGTAGTTTACAAAACACCAAATTAAAATGGTGCATTTTATTATTTATAGTTCAAGTTACGTCAGTAATCTTTGAACTGCAATTTTATTTCTAGATGACATGAACTGGAATGCTTTAGAATGGGACAGAGCTGCAGAAGAGCTTACATGGGAAAGAGTGAGTAAGACTTCTATCAAACATCAGTGTTTTAATTCTGTAGTTATGTTTGATTTAAAACTTTAATAGATCTCTAATTTCTAGAGAAAATTAAGTGATGTTTTGTTTGTACTGAAAATGATAACTGTTTTTCTGTCTTATGATTTTTAAAACAAACCTTGCTCTACTTAGGGAATGTTTAGTCTGAAATTGTGGACTTTCAAAAAATGAAGTAACAATTTAAAATTTAAGTATTATTCTGGTGCTTCAGTTGACAATATAGTTGTATCATGAAGTCTTGACTGACTCCATAGCTAATGTAAGGATGAAACCCAAGATGGATTTTTTTTTTTACTTCAAAACCATGATTTGGAATAAAAGGAAACCCAAAATACAAAACTCCCATAAACAGGAGTTTTTTATTCTCTGAAAATGATAGGCTATATCGGAAAGTAGTGGGTATGGATTATGTGTAAAGATATTGAAAGGGCCCTAGCTGGTTTGGTTCAGTGGGTAGGGGGTCGGCCTGCAGACTGAAGGGTCCCGGGTTCGATACCAGTCAAGGGCACATGCCTGGGTTGTGGGCTTGATCTCCAGTAGGGGACATGTGGGAGGCAGCCGATCAATGACTCTATCTCATCATTGATGTTTCTAGCTCTCTTCCCTTCTCCCTTTCTCTCTGAATCAATAAAAAAAAAAGATACTGAAAGGAAAATGAGCCTTTTTAATAAATAGAATTAAAAAAACCTTTTTATCTTGAATTAATACCTATTATTATTCATTTTAGATGCTAGGACTTGATGGATCACTAGTTTTTCTAGTAAGTAAAGTTAACATTTTTTTTCAAACAAAATTATCTTTATTCATAACTCTAACATTTTTTAAATAATAGAATTGTGACTTAATTATTTGTCTCAGTGATTCAGTTGAGGTAGTAATACTGAGGGTTGCACCAGGTGGTAATTCACAGATTACTGAGAATATGACGTTACCAAGCTTCTATTCAGAGTTTGATCACAATCAGTATAGAACAGCGGTTCTCAACCTGTGGGTCGCGACCCCTTTGGGGGTCGAACGACCCTTTCACAGGGGTCGCCTAAGACCATTGGAAAACACATATATAATTACATGTTGTTTTTGTGATTAATCACTATGCTTTAATTATGTTCAATTTGTAACAATGAAAATACATCCTGCATATCAGATATTTACATTACGATTCATAACAGTAGCAAAATTACAGTTATGAAGTAGCAACAAAAATAATTTTATGGTTGGGGGTCACCACAACATGAGGAACTGTATTAAAGGGTCGCAACATTAGGAAGGTTGAGAACCACTGGTATAGAAGGTATTATTTGACTACATACTCATTTATCTCTCTTACCTCATAAGTCCCTCATAGATGAGTCCCAGAAGTTAGGCAGTGTTGTTGACAAAAGTGCATTCTAATTATTGGAAAAAGTAATTTATAGGATGACTTCATTCATGGAAAGATATTTTTAGTATCTACCATGTGCCAACCATTGTAATAGTTACTGTGAGGTTCAGAGATGAATGAAATAGGATCCCTGTTCTCAAAGATGTTTTATAGTTAGTAGAAATTAACATGTGAATAAGAAACTTTAGAGGTACTACGTGGTAAAGACTCAGTTACAGAAGGTGTTCATCAGAGGTACAGAAGAGGCCTTGGTTAGGTGTTTCTTATTGGAGTTTGTCAGCAGGGAATTTTTAAATAAGATAATTTAGAGGTTGAGGCACAGAAGATATAGGGAATAAGGACAGTTTGGGAGCCCTAAAGGCAGAAAAGCTGAAAAAATTCAAGTGATATAAGCTGACACGGTGAATAGGAATGTAGCAGTCATCTCTTAGACAAACTAATCACCCTTTATGCCCCTTGGATTGTAGCAGATTGGGATATTCTTTCCTGATGGGAATGTCTTTCTAAGAAAAAAATCTGAAAGTGTTGGCCCTTTTTGGAAGGATCATTTAACTTGATGGGGGAGGAGGTGGTGGGCCTAGACAAATGGGCTTGGTCTTTCTAGTGTCAGCAAGGAGTGTAACTAAAGTAGAGGTGTCTGGCTGGAAATGATAGCAGTCATCTTGGAGATGATAATACATAACTGTGGAAGTGGATCATTGGCCAAATGAGAATGAGTATTCTGAGGCATGAGCAAAGAAAGACAGGACACCATAGGGAGACAGGGGACCAGAGAAGATAAAGTGACCTTACAGAAGTCTTGAGAACAAAATGGACAGTGAAAGAAGCACTGTATTTTTTCCATTAATATGTTGTTGGGAATTAATGTGGTTTTCTAATTTTTCCCCATTTGGAATTTTTCAGTGTCATTTGATTTAATGCAGCCTGGAAGTTATTTATGAGAATCTGTGTAGTTAGTAGTGAATTATTAATTTCTGAAGAGGAAATGTTTATAGAGTAGCTTCTTTGATTTTTTTTTCTACACGTAACATAATGAACTTGAGTTTTATTAGATTTATGAGCTATCTAATGAGAAATTTAAAGTTGTACATAATTTATAGAATGAAATCTCAACTATAGAGTGAACATTTCAGTCTTCTAATTGAATAAGTGGAGTAGTCTTTATATATCAAGTAGGAATTGAATATGTTTTATTAATGTTCTTTTCCTTTAGGAACATGTCTTCTGGGTGGTGTCTTTAAACACACTGTTCATTCTTGTTTTTGGTAAGTGGTGTTTATGCTTTTGTTTATTGTATTATGGTAGTTTAGTTTTCTAGGAGCCTTCTTATTTAGGTTTTTGTTTTATTTTTAAGCAGGAATATATAAAATAGTTTTAGATAGTAATCTGTATAGGAATCCTGTACAGATACCTTCTTTCCTAAGCAATAGTGACTTCAATAACCTGTAGTTGCCTACTATCTCTGCTTCAGTTGGGCATTTCTGTCTCTTTGTAGAAGTTAATTTTGCTAGTAGACTGACTTGAGAATATACAATATTCTACCTCTGGAATTAACTTTTTGCTAATTATCTGCATGAGCTTCCCTATGGCAGAAGATCTTATTGCCATCTGTCAAGGCTTTATCAGAAACCCTGCTTGGGAGTTGTCATCGGAGATGGATGTAGACTTGAGGGAAGACAGTGACCCTTCCCCAAGTGTGAATTCCCCTAAGAACCAGATTCTGGTAAATGCAAAATCACTTTCAAGACACTATCACAACTACAGCTGTGAGGGTTCTGTGGCAACACAGACAAATCCCTGCCATTGGGTGTAATTAGAGAAAGGAAGGCAGGGCTGAGGAAGTGTAGTTGACAGATTTTTCTGCTTTGGGAAAGATAAGGTAAATTGAATCAAGTAAACCAAGACCTTAGAATTCAATTCCTGCATCTCTCAAGGGAGAGAAAGTAGAGTTTGATAAAATTAGGTTATTGCTGGGCTGGGCTATGATTTGTGTCTTGTAGAGAAACCTTAGAGCAGCGGTCGCCAACTGGTGGTCGTTGGACCACTGGTGGTCCGTGAGGTCTGAAAGGTTGGCAACCGCTGCCTTAGAGTACAGATCTCTCCATAGGGGTGATCTTTGAGAAATTCCTTCCTTTAATGCATGTGAGTTACCCTTTAGTTCTACTGAGAAGGGAGGGTTACATTGAATTCCAAGTTATTTCCTTTGTGTTGTGGACCACTTTGTGACCTAGAAAGCAGTTCTCTTTAATAGGAAGGAAGCCATGTGGTCAAAAAGACACTGAGCATGGCCCTGGTCAATGTGGCTCAGTTGGTTGGATGTCATCTTGTACACCAAAAGGTCACCGGTTTGATTCCTGGTCAGGGCACATGCCCAGGTTGTGGGCCTGATCCCCAGTAGGGGGCGTGCAGGAGGCAGCTGATCAATCATCGATGTTTGGCTCTCACATTGATGTTTCTCTCCCTCTATTTTCTTCTCTTAAAAAAAAATCAATAAAAAAGACACTGAATATGTAAATTGAGGATGAGACAAAATTAATTTCTGAATGTTATCAGTAAAGAACAAATAAAATTATAGGTAACTTGTTGAAACAAATATCTTGATTAAAAAGATGGCACAAATTAACAGGAAGCTCATTTTTTTGTTTCCCCTTGCATATGAGGGTAAAAAATATGTCTGCAGATTATTCTGCCTTTATTTTTTTTCTATGTAAAATTATATTCACTTTTTGAGTATAATAAACTCATGGATTTGTATATATTCAGTGTGTTTCCACCAGAATGTGAAACTGTTTTGATCTTGACCAAGTCCTTTTTTTAAAAAAAATTATTTATTTTTTAATTTTCTTTATGGATTAAGGTATTACATATGTGTCCATATCCCCCCCTTGCCCCACCCCACCTCTGCTCATGCCCTCACTCCTCTGGTGTCTGTGTCCATTGGTTATGCTTATATGCATGCATACAAGTCCTTTGGTTGATCTCCCCCCCTTACCCCCACCCTCCCCTACCTTCCCTCTTGAGGTTTGACGGTCTGATCGATGCTCTGTCTCTGGATCTGTTTTTGTTCATCAATTTATGTTGTCCATTATATTCCACAAATGAGTGAGATCATGTGATATTTATCTTTCTCTGATTGGCTTACTTCACTTAGCATAATGCTCTCCAAGTCATCATGCTGTTGCAAATGGTAGGAGTTCCTTCCTTTTTATAGCAGTGTAGTATTCCATTGTGTACCTTAGTTTTTTAATCCACTTATCTGCTGATGGGCACTTAGGCTGTTTCCAAATCTTAGCTATTGTAAATTGTGCTGCTATGAACATAGGAGTGCATATATCCTTTCTGATTGGTGTTTATAGTTTCTTGGGATATCAAGTTTTATTTGAGAGAAAATGATCTCTAGAATTTAATCTTTACTCTTGTAAGAAAAACGTAATGCTAAGTTAATGTTTGAAGAAACAAGTCATCTTTAAACCTGAATTAGAGAAATAAGAAATCTTATTTATATAAAGGAAATAGCATCTAAGTAAATATTTTTCTAATCCAATCTCCTAAGCTTATATAAGTTTATATGAAAAAAATTAGTTTTAGTACACTTACATAACATACTTAGCATCTCTTGAAATGAAATAAATTTTCTTCTTTTTAGGAATACACTTTTCCTTTTAGGTGAACATAGTCGTCATTGGGATTAAGCACACATGTTTTTTTTCCTACTACAATTTTCCTCTGGCATTTTTTGACTCTTGTCATCGTGTAATTTGCAGAAATAGAACCTTACAGCACTGCTGTCTCTAGTAGAGTGGAGTGATCCTGAGAAACTAACCTTAATTTCAGGATACCTATCTAGTAGTTGCTTCAGAATAGGATAGAAATTGATTGTTACAATTAATGCTCAGGTTAGTATTTACATATACAAATAGAGTTGAAACATGAAAGTTTGCCTTTGTCAGGGACCTTCTTGAGTCAGAGGGGTGTGAGAACAAATTAGAACAAATTCTGCATATGTATTTTTTCTTACCATTTAACAATTTCTTGTGCATCATAACATATATAATATTAGTAAAATAATGCACATGTCTACTTTGCAAATAAATTCTAAATAGATCTTAGACCAATAAGTACATTTCTACCCATAGAATACTTGATCAAAACTGTTTGGTGGCCAGATTCCTATAGATTCACTCTAACTTTTGTGTTAATGATTTTGTTCCCCTCCCCCCTTCTCTAATCTATGCTGTTCATTTTTTTAGCATAAGTAAAAGATAATTACATTTTATTATTAAGAACAAATTAAAATTTTATTAATATGGCAAGAAAAGCTTGAAGAAAAGAGACTGTAAGAATTGTCACTCTGGCCCTCGCTGGTTTGGCTCAGGGAACAGAATGTCAGCTTGCTGACTAAAAAGTCCCGGGTTCAGTTCCGCTCAAGGGCACATGCCCAGGTTGCAGGCTCACTCCCCTGTAGGGGGTGTGCAGTTGATGATTCTCATCATTGATGTTTCTCTCTCCCCCTCTCCCGTCCTGTCTGAAATTAATAAAAATATGTGCATGAGGAGGCAGCCAATTGATGTTGATTTTTCTTTCTCACCAATGTTTCTATCTCTCCCTCTCCCTTCTCTCTCTAAAAATTAATAAAAACATTTTAAAATTCTTATTATGAAATACTTGATATTTTCTTATTTAACTATAATGTCATTATCACACCTTAGAGCAGTGATGGCGAACCTTTTGAGCTCGGCGTGTCAGCATTTTGAAAAACCCTAACTTAACTCTGGTGCCGTGTCACATATAGAAATTTTTTGATATTTGCAACCATAGTAAAACAAAGACTTATATTTTTGATATTTATTTTATATATTTAAATGCCATTTAACAAAGAAAAATCAACCAAAAAAATGAGTTCGCGTGTCACCTCTGACACACGTGTCATAGGTTCGCCATCACTGCCTTAGAGAATCACCAGTACTTAATATTTCTTAGTAATCCAACATATTAAAAGTTTCTAGATATGTTAGTCCTTAAATGTCATTTTATAGTTGGTTTGTTTGAATGAGGATTCAGATAAGGTCTAGACATTACTTTTGGTTATTAATCCTTTTGATCTAGAATAGTCTTCCCTCAATCCCTTTTTTTGCCATTGATTTGTTGAAGAGACTTGGATCAGCTGTCCTATGAGTGCCTCATGCTCCCTGATAATGTCTGCTACCTTGTTTCTTTGTCTCCAAAGGCCTGATTAAATTCAGGTTCAATGTGTTTGGGACAAATCCTTCACTGGTTGTGTTTTGCCTAGTAATCCTATATAATAAAGCGGTAATATGCAAATTGACCATCACTCCAACACACAAGATGGCCAGCAGGGGAGGGCAGTTGGAAGGGACCAGGCCAGCAGGGGAGGGCAGTTCGGGGGGACCAGGCCAGCAGGGGAGGGTAGTTGGAGGGGACCAGGCCAGCAGGGGAGGGCAGCTGAGGGCAATCAGGCCGGCAAGGGAGGGCAGTTGGGGGCGATTGGGCTGGCAGGAGAGGGCAGTTGAGGATGATCGGGCCAGCAGGGGAGGGCAGTTGGGGGCAATTGGGTCAGCAGTGGAGCAGTTAGGCATCAATCAGTCTGTCAGGGGAATGGTTAGGGGGTAATCTGGCAGGCAGGCAGGCGAGCAGTTGGGAGCCAGCAGTCCCGGATTGTGAGAGGAATCTCTGACTGCTGGCTTAGGCCTTATCCCTAAACCAGCAGTAGGACATCCCCTGAGGGGTCCCAGATTGGAGAGGGTGCAGGCTGGGCTGAGG